CCCTTTAGACCAGCTCTACCCTGCTTCCTTCTTTCTTACTTGAACCTATAAAGTCTCCCTCTCACGAACTCTTACTTAGCTTTGGCTCTGCACCCCATAGCATCCTGATGGTAGTGCATCATCAAAGTAGAGTTAAGACTCGTTTGATGCAATAATTGCACTTTATTTGTGCTCCCACCATTTCTTTAATTTTGTTCTCTGCGCTCTACACAATATGGGGTTTGATCTTTCCCTAATCCCATTGTCATGTTAAGTTGAGGGAAATGGTCTTCATTCAGTAATTAAGAGGTGCAGTCTCATGTCATAATCGAATTTCAAGGGGCACCAGGCTGGCTTAGTCGGTAGAGCATGCAACTCTTGATCGTGGGGTTGTAAGTTTGAGCCCCACGATGGGTGTAGAGGTTACTTAAGAATAAAATCCTTTTTAGAAGATTTTATTTAGGGATGCCTGGGTGGCTCATCAGTTGGGCACCTGCCTTCAGCTCAGGTCACAAGTCCCACATCGGGCTCCCTGTGAGGAGCCTGCTTCTCCCTCTACCTATGTCTCTGCATCTCTCTCTCAGTCTGTGTGTCTCATGAATAAATAAATAAATCTTCAAATCTTTTTTTTTAAAAAAGAGAGAATGAACAGAGTGGAGGTGGGGGGTAGAGGGTGAGAGAGAGAGGCAGAGAAGCAGATTCCTTGCTGAGCAGGGATACCAATGCAGGGCTCCATCCCAGGACCCTGGAATCATGACCTGAACTGAAGACAGGCATTTAACCAACTGAGCCACCCAGGCACCCCAAAAATAAAATCTTAAAAAAATTCCGAGCTCGATCTTTAAGGCTAAGGCTCCTCTGCCCTTCCTGGTCAGGCCTGCAAGGGGGCAGAACTGCAGTAGGAAATGGCAGCTGGGCTGGCTTTCTCTGTTCAGCCCTGCTCGTCTACTTCCACTTCAGAAACCTGTTCACTGTGCTGTTTCACTTTGCCAGGGGAAGGAACAAGAGAGAGCTAAGGGAGCAGACAGTCCTACTGGTCTGTTGTGCGGTGTGAATGAGCAACAGGCAAGTGTCTAGAGCTAATGCTTTGTCTCCTGGGCACACACTTGACCCCTTTGAAGACTTTGCACCAAGCCAGTGTTCAACAGTGGCCCCGCGTAGCACCTGGAGGCAACAGCAATGAAGGATTACTCTACGCTGGTCCTGGGCGCTGGGCTACCCTCCCTACCCACTCTGGACCAAGTCCCAGTGAGTCCTGGTCAACCCTGAGGCCTTAAGAAAAAGATAAATAAAGGATTTCCTGCTAACCAGGCTCCCAATTTAGACATCTTCTAAGCTGACTGGTTCTTTAGTAGAGAAAAGAAGGAAAGAAAAGAAAAGAAGATAAAAGAAAAAAGAAAAGAAAAAGAAAAGAAAAGAAAAAAAGAAAGAAAAGAAAGAAAAAGGGAGGGAGGGAGGGAGGAAGGAAGGAAGGAAGGAAGGAAGGAAGGAAGGAAGGAAGGAAGGAAGGAAGGAAAGAGGGAAGGAAAAAACAAGCCATGGCCCTCTGGGAGGGTTTGGTTTCTAATGACAAAGGAGACAGAGGGTATTAGGGTCCCTTTCCCCCAGAACTGTAGCTCAGACAAATATTTACCAGGTGAATGGCTTTGCTTGATCGCACTTTGTCTAGACTGAACCAGAACGTCTAAAGAGACATACACAAATAGGAAGAAAATTCTTGGCCCTTGTGGTGGTACAAACTGTTCCCTTCCACTGTTATGTAAGCATTTGGGAATGACAAATAGCATCATCCACACGGCAAAATAAGGCAGGCAGCTGCCCAGTCCCTGTGACCATGATCTCGACCACCCGCCCCCCAAATCCAGGCAGGGCACTTTCCATCAGATGGTACCATGTGGCCACAGCCATAACATAGAATCCAACTAGGGGTTGTGGAAGGGGAGGAAGGCGGGGGGTGGGGGTGAGTGGGTGACGGGCACTGAGGGGGACACTTGACGGGATGAGCACTGGGTGTTATTCTGTATGTTGGTAAATTGAACACCAATAAAAAATTAATTTATTAAAAAAATAAAATAAAATAGCATTTGTAGGGGCACCTGGGTGGCTCAGTGGTTGAGAGTCTGCCTTTGGCTCAGGTCGTGATCCCGGGGTCCTGGGATCGAGTCCCACATGGGCTCCCTGTAGGGAGCCTGCTTCTCCCTCTGCCTGTGTCTCTGCCTCTCTCTCTGTGTCTCTCCTGAATAAATAAATCAAACCTTAAAAAAAATAGCGCCTGTATTTTCTACATAAGCCTTACATTTTATTTTCCCATTGTCTGTCAGGTCTTTCCATGTTAAAGAAACCGGGTGAGGCTTACCTTGAAGTGAAACATGCACCCAGAAGAGTGAACGAGCAGATACATGAACAATTTTATGAAGACCCCCAAACTGATCAAACCCATGAGACAGAGTATGGCCAGCACCCTAGAGTCCTCCTCCTGCCACCTTTAGTGATTTACCTTCAGCTGAAGGATATCCATGATCCTGACTTTTAACATCATATGTTCATTTTGGCCAACAGGAAGGGTTTCAGGATCACAGATAAGCCTCAGCAAGGAGGCGATCCCTGAGTGGCTCAGCAGTTGGGGGCCTGCTTTTGGCCCAGGGCATGATCTTGGAGACCCAGGATCGAGTCCCACATCGGTCTCCCTGCATGGGGCCTGCTTCTCCCTCTGCCTGTGTCTCTGCCTCTCTCTCTTTCTCTCATGAATAAATAAATAAAATCTAAAAAAAAAAAAAAAAGCCTCAGCAAGGAGAGTCTACAATTCAACCTGGAGGGCAAACGATTATTGGGAGGATTTCTGGGACCCTGGGTCCAGCTTGCAGGTGACATTCAGGGTGAAGAAGGAGAATGCCTTCAGTTTCAGACATCCCACCTCTGGTACCTGTGAGCTGTGTGACACTGGGCGAAGTCACTTTTCTGAGCCTGAAAGGGTGTCCCCTCTCTCTAAGGGGGAATAACACCTCTGCCTCCAAGGATTAGGGAGGCAGAAGCCAGGCAGAGAGCACCTGGCATAGAACTATGCCCTCACCTGCGTGCCCTTGTACAGCGTAGATGAGACCAGAGACCAAAGGCCGCCTTTCTTGGTCTCCCCCATTTTTCTGGAGCTTATTGCTCCCTACATCCCATGCTTTCATCCTGCTGAGCTAAATGCTGAAACCTTCTGACCTCACAGATGACACACTCCATGAAGCCTCCACTTCCTGGCGCCAGCTGCCCAGGCCTGCCCTCCCTGCCCTGAGGCCACCAGGCATTGGCAGCCCTCCCCTTCAGACACCTCCACGGGGCGGCTCCTCCCCAGGCCTCCCCAGGCTTCCTTCCCACCTTCCTGGGACCAGCGGCTATCAGATCCTGCAGCTCCTCCACCATACAGGAGAGGAAACTGGCTCACGGTAGGGAGGGACTTGCCCCAGGGTCCCAGGGCTAGGGCACAGCTGGGACCAGAGCCCTGACCACTGACCCTGTTCTTGCCTTTGCCCTTTTTAATCCAGGGTCCTCCTTTCTGCCCCTTCTTACCTTAGCTGGTCCCTGTGACAAACCCTTGTCTGTGTCCATCCCCCTACAGAGAGACAGAAGGAGCCTAAATAAGATTTACATGTAATTAGTGGATGTTTTCATTATTGACTAGGGAACACACAGACATGGTTCAACTTATTTCGATTCATAAAGGATATACAGTGAAAATTCTCCCCCGACTCCTGCCCATGTCCATCCAGTGAATTTTCTTCTTCTCCAGGTAACTCCTGTTCTTACTTTCTCGGGCATCCTTAAAGCAGCTTTTCAATGTCTATACAAGCAAATCAGATCTATATTATTTACACCTTACTTTTTTTTAAGATTTTATTTATTTATTTTAGAGAGAGAGAGCGAGAGAGCAAGGGGAAGGAGCAGAGGGAGAGGCAAAGAGAGAATCTCAAGTTGACTCCACACGGAGCACAGAGCCCGATGTGGGCCTCAGTCCCAGGACCCTGAGATCAGGACCTGAGCCGAAATAAAGATTTGGATGCTTAATCAACTGAGTTGCCCAGGAGCCCCTCCCCTCCTACTCTTTTGCATGGAGGATAACATGTTCTCTTTGCTATTTTCATTGAACACACACAGGAGAACTCTATGCATCAGTACACAAAGAGCTTCTGCATTTCTTTGTCACAGCTCCATAAGATTCCTTTGTACACCTAGGTTATATTATTGAAACAGAATTCATATCCCATAAAGTTCATTCTTTTGGTTTAGTCGCAGAAGACTTGTGGAACCAGCATCATAATGAGTTGTTGAATCCTCTATCATCCCTAGAAGAAACCCTGTACCCCTTAGTTATCACCTTGCAAGCTCCACCCCAGCCCTAGGCAACTGCTAATCTACTGTCTTTTTTTTCTTTTTTTTTTTTTTTTGAGATTTTATTTACTTATTCATGAGAGACACAGAGAGAGAGGCAGAGACACAGGCAGAGGGAGAAGCAGGCTCCATGCAGGGAGCCCGATGTGGGACTCCATCCCAGGACCTCAGGATCACGCCCTGGGTCAAAGGCAGGTGCTAAACCACTGAGCTACCTAGGGATCCCTACTGTCTGTCTTTATAGTTTTTTCTATTCTGGACTTTTCATATACATGGACCCCTACAATATACTGTCCTCTGTGACTGCCTTCTTTCACTTGGCTTAATGTTTTCAAGGTCCATCCATGTTGTAGTGCGTGTCAGAACACCATTTCTTTTTACTGTCAAATAATAGTCCATTATAGGGATCAACTGCATTTCATTTTCCCCTTCACCAGTCAGTGGACGTGTGATCTATTTCCACTTTTTAGCTATTACAAATAATGCTGCTGTGAATGAATATCCATATGCAAGGTTTTGTCCAGGTGTCTGTGACCATTTCTCCTAGATATATGCCTAGGAGTGGAATGGCTGGGTCATATGGCAAATTTGATAATTTACTTATCTAGTCCCCTATTGATGGAAATTTGATCAAATGACTTCTTAAAAGATTTTATTTATTTGAGAGAGAGTGTTGAGTGCAAGCAAAGGGAGGAAGCGGCGGGGGTGGGGGGCAGACAAGCAGACTCCACACTGAGCTCAGGCTCATGGGGCTCCATCTCACAACCCCAAGACCATGACCTGAGCCGAAATCAAGAGTCGGACACTCAACCGATTGCGCCACCCAGGCACCCCTTAAATTACTTCTTAAAAGCCAAAAACCCTTATAAGTTTGGCAGGTGCTGGTCTTCTTGGTGAGGATTCAGGAGCAAGGCTGGGAACAATGGGTGCACAGATCCTGCCAAAGCTCCCTGCTTTTCTTTTCTCCCAGACTCTTATTCTTCTAGCACTTTCTGGTTAAATATGCTTAGATTGCAGTGTGGGCTGTGACTCAGGAGAGTGGGAAAAGGAAGCATCACTCTGCACAGCCTGGCCTACCGGCCCACTGCCCACTGATCCCTGAGGGGGAGCCCAGGCCCCTCAGCTGTGTCCGTGCCTGTGCCTTCCTGTCTGGGTTTCCTCATCCAGGAGACAGTCCAAGAGGAAGCCAGTGACTCCTGACCATGGAGTTTCCTGACCCTGTAACAACAGGCCTCTGCCACACCTGACCATCTCCCACTCCTACGACAGGTGCAGAACAGGGGAATTCAGGAACCATCCAGGCTATAAGCTCGTGAGCAGCCTCCTAGGGAGCCTCTCACCACTGCAGGCCTGGATGGGACCAGGGGCAGCTGGAGACTCCTTGGTACCAGCACGTTTTTTAAACCTTCTTTTGCTTTAGGCCTCCTCAACAAGCTTCAGCCAGGAGGTGCTTTGTATTCTGAGCCAACAGTAGACAGGTCGATTTCGATCCCCTGATTAAGGAGAGAAAAATCGTCCAAACTCTTCTCTGCTGTTTCTTTTTGGTACAGCCCCCAAAATTCTCTGGGTATCGTGTTACTCCCTGCTCTGCTCACAAACCTCGGGGCAGCCTCACGTCAGTAGGACTGTGATCACTTGCCGGGAAGACTTCTCATTCCATCTTCTCTGGCCACGGCAGCTGCTTAAACTTGCCTCCCTCAAGAGTGGAGGAAGAGACCGCCTCATGGAACGTGAGTACTCTTCTTCAATACAAGGACGAGCTGTTCTAGAATGACTGCTGTATTTCACATCAGTAAATTATAAGTGCAAAATGGCACAGAGGAAAAGGTGTCTCTTTCTGCAAGATGTGTTTGTCCATTAAGATATGACCAACCTATTTTTTTTAGAAAAAGAAAAGTGCAGAACAATGTGCTGCAATAATTAATATAGTGAATTTCTTTCCTGTGGATATGGACTATTTTAAAACTTATTTAATGTCTTGTAGTTCTCGGTTGGGCATATTTTATATATGTATTTGAGCATATCACATCATTCTATAACAACTCACAGAAAAGTTCAGAGTTCTCAGTGTGTTCTCTTGCTGTAATTGAGACTTCTGATTTTCTTATTGGGTTGACTTTTAAAAAGAAAGCAATGATGACAATTTTCCCCTTTCTATACTTTAAGTTCTCAAACCCTTCCACCAACAGTGGTATAAAATTCCTCGTTATTGTATCATTTGTTATGAGTGACCAATTTTATATAATTAAATCTGTTCATTTGGGCTTTGTCACATGTGGTTTGTAGATTTATTTTTAAAGCCTTCATCTAAAAGTAATAAGATCATTCACTTATTCTGACAATTAACTATAACAAAAGATACCAGCCTCTCTGAATCTTGCCATTAGCAAAATGAATTAGCAACAAACAAATATCAAATAGATGGCATTTGGGGAGCAGCTTTGGTCTACCCGGCAGGCTGTGGGATATATTCTATGACACATCCGAAAACATCTGTGCTCACGCAGGGCAAGAATTAGGGATTTGAGCCAGTAAAGTTCAATTGGAAAAATGTCTCACAGTTTTATGTACTACTTCTGTGCCTTTCATTTCATGGCCACTGGCTCTCCTAGGAGAAAAAACAGTTTTGAATTAAACAGCAATTAAGATTTTAATCTTCTGGTCTTGGAAGGGCACACAGTGTCATTCCCCAGGGGCACTTCACCAAGGAGGCCAGAAAAGTGCCCACTTGTACCCTTTCCTTTTTTAGATTAACTCCTTTTGGAAGGTAACTATACATGGTACAAAATGTACAAAAGGGAACCGGTGAAAAGTACATCTCATCCCTCAATTCTCTTCCCCAAGGGCAACCCCAGGTACCAATTTCTTGTGTATTCTCTCAGAGATACTTTATACATATATGAGCTTCAAGCAAATGCCATATCCTCCCTCCTTTTAGGCATATGATTGCATATTATATCATGGTTAGTCTTAGTTTTTCAAATACTAATATTTAGTATGCCCCCCAAAACCCCTTTTTATGTATATGTTGTTAGACTCCTGACCATTCAACAGAGAGAGCCCCCTTTAAGCAGTCCCACATTTCCCCCACATTTCCCACTGATATGAGGACCACACTGTCATTGGCTTGGCCAGGCAGCCCTCAGCCCAGGATGCTGGGTCTCATCTGGATCTCTCTGTTTCTCAGTGATCAAGTGGACTCCTCAGGGAGCCCCCAACCAGACCCAGGCCAGCACTGGCCTAGGCTACCTGCTGAGGGACCACATGGAAGGGAGGAGCGGCACCAACTCCACCAGGGCCCTGAAACTTCCAGATGGGACCAGCGCTGCCTGGTACATCCTCACCATCATTGGCATCTACGGAGTGATTTTCCTCTTCCGGTTAGCCAGCAACATCCTCAGAAAGAATGATAAATCCCTGGAAGATATTTACTACTCAAATTTGACCTCTGAACTCAAAATGAAAGGTCTCCAAAGCAAGGTGTCCAAATGCTCTGCGCTGACGATTAGCAACAGACCTGTCCTGCAGCCCAACCAGGTCAGCCTGGGGCCAACATTTAAAAACAGTGAGTGCCAAACTGAAATCCAAGGGATCCCTTGAAAGTTCAAGGCAAGCTGACCTCTACAGAAGAGGCCCAACCTTCATACAAGGGGAAGCAGCTTTGAGTTTACCTGGAACCTTGAGAGAAGAGTCAGATCCTTGAGCTGGGCTGGAAGAGGATCACTGGGGCACTTAGGCCAATGGGAGTGTGACTGAAGGCCAGCATCCCATCCTGTTTCCTTCTCAGGCTTTGTGGCACTTTGAGACAGGACAGCAGGGGCAGCAGCTTCCAGTCATACCCTTCACTGGAAAAGGTTATGTTCCAGGGAAGGACATGGAGCATTGAGTGTTCTCAGAGAATCTAGGAGATTCCTGAGGGGTATACACGAAAGTAGCCTCTTGTCATGGAAAGAAGACTGAATTTGGAGTCAAGCGCCCCGGATTAAAGTTCAACTTCCAGAGGATGACATCAACTTTGAGTGACTTGTGGCTCTCACCTGGAATGCATGGCAGGGGGATATATGGCTTCAAAGAGCTATTCATTCTAGAGGTTCTCACTTAGAGCCAAGGTTGTTAACAGCAGAAGTCAGTCAGAAGTTCTTCATTTTTATTGAAGGCATGGGGTCCATTGAAAAAAAGTATTAATTTTGGAGTCAGAGGAATCCAACTCTAGTCAAGGACACTTAGGTATCCTTGAACTCAACACCTCACCTCTCTGGACCTTAGTTTCCACACGGATAAAATGAGAATGATGATGTCTGGTCTGTCAAACTACAAACTAGATAAGAGCTAATAAGATCATGCATATGAAGATATTTTTCAAAGTAAAGTAAAAATGTAAAATATAAACCCTGTGCTCATAGTGGTGTGGTGGTTGATGCTATGGGGGTATTGGTGTTAGTGATGATGGTAGTGATGTCATTGGTAATAGCTGTTGTTGATGATGGTGTTGGTGGTAGTATTGATGGTGGGGTTGATGGTTGATGTTGATGATGGTCATGTTGTTGGTGGTTGATATTAAGGGTGATGGTGGTGGTAGTGGTGGTTGATATTGATGATAGTGGTGGTGGTTGATGGCTGATGTTTACTCAAATGTTTTATTTACTTATATATTTGTCTCTGCCTAAAAAGAAGTAAGACCTTGCCTAGATGAGTAATTAATTTAGAGAGATGGTGATTAGCTGAACTTCTGCAGGCTTTCAGCAGGCAAAGTGATAAATTATTTGTTGTACCAACTTCTATGAAGTTTATTCAGCTCCGTTTTTGGAGACATTCCTTGGATCACAAATGAAAAAAAGTGGGTTTTTTTCCCCCCGTCTCCAGATAGTGGTCTGCAACCAGCCCCACATTTCATAAAAGTCAGAATTAAACCTCAAGCTTTTGTTTTTAGAGGGTGAGGTCAACTTCCAAGTATTATTCTTTTTTTTTTCTTTTTTAAAAAAATATTTTCCACAGACATTAGAAATGTTGGCTTGTTTCTATAGTTAGGGCTAGGCATCATCCATATGTTTGAGATGCTTATAAGGCAGGATAAAAGAGAAGGAAATATAGACAAAAATGTAATCCACAGCAAATAGGAACATGGAATGTATTACAATGGGAGTGAAAGGTCAGAACTTAAGTGAATTTGAAGATTCAGTTGTCTCCTGCTAGCTGCTTCCCCAGCATGCATTTCCCTCTTCCTTAACCCAACCACCCCTAATTTGCATTTGGAGATCCATATGGCACTAAGGAAGCTGTAACTACTCCCAGTTCAAGGGCTGAAATAAGAGAGCCACGTCAATCTAATCGGCACAATCCATTTCCTGGCTTCGCTGATTGGGTCCAAGAAGGACTCATGACCTAAGTGAGCTGATCTTCAGAATGATTGGAAAGGTTTTAAAGGGAGATTCTGGGACATAAAAGTTCTGTCTTGTGCAGGATTGTGTTAAATGCGGATCTGAGCCTATAATTGCTGGAGCCCCTTTGCCAACGTTAGAAAAGCCAGTTTGAGGGCAAAATCCAGCCTGGAGAGGAGAACTGAGAATATCACAGAGATTAGAGTCCCAATCAAACTGTGTTTGAAGGGAAACCTGGGTGGTTCAGTGGCTGAGCTTCTGCCTTGAGCTCAGGTCATGATCTTAGGGTCCTGGGATCAAATCCCACATCAGGTTCCCCATAGGGAACCTGCTTCTCCCTCTGCCTCTGTCTCTGGGTCTCTCATGATTAAATAAAATCTTTAAAAAAACAAAACAAAACAAAACTGTGCCTGAAGCCTTAATTTGCTACAGGACTGTTTCGTTTGTGAGCCAATAAATCTCCTTTATTAAACTTTCTGACCCCCCTCAACCAAAAATATCCTGTGATACTGCTGGATAAATAATTTCCTGAAGGAAGTGAGCCTTGAAGTAGAATTTGAAAAGAGGAGCAATGTGATGTGGTAAATTAGGATCCTTTCCTTCATCAAGGTTTTTCTATTTCTAGGATTTTGGGGTTTCAGGGAAAAGATAGATTTGGTATGTTTCTAATGCCAGTTCAATGATCACTTGTATAATTTCACATTGCTTGGCCTCTCAAGGAGCATTCAATGAGATCCTGTTCCATTTAATCCCCAACCCTTGACTCTGTTAGTAAACCACCATGGAAATCCCAAGAAGGGCTTGCCATGTTAGACACGTGGTCAGGGACAGGCTTTTACAGTATTTCCTAAGGAACAAAGCCACCATCTTCCCATTGACACTCAGATGCAGTTAGTTACATGAGATCTAAGGATATTTTCCCAGGCCACCTGTTTCTTGATACAAATTCACCTGTTTTCTGGGGAGCTGGTCTAAGAGTTTGCATGGAAGATGTGTTCCTGGATGGAGACTACATTCTCCATTTTAAGCAAGACTGGTGAGACACAAGTACTATGAATATTTTATGCAAAATCCTTTAAATCTAAAATGCTCAGGCTCAGAATAATCCACCTCTATCTTGGCAAACCCCACGTAGCTGGACCAGTGGGAAAGGTACCAGCACCACAGTGTGGGTGTTCAGCAAGTGAGCTTTGCACATTCCACCAGCCCTGGTGGAAGCAGGAACAGAGAAAGCTGATTCTCAACATTTCAGACACTTTTTTTTTTTGTCCCTATAGTAAGTTACACCCAAGATTAGAGGATCAGGTCAATTAAAGGCCTACCTCTGCCATTGAGATTATTTAAAATCAATGCAGAATGGATCTGGTTAACAGTTTCCAGGAATGGCTTCTCTGGGGATTTGTGGTTGAAGGTACCATGATTTCTACCAAATCAAATCCAAGTTACCAGAGTTTTCCTGGGTGTTTGGAATACTTCTATTCTAAATGAAATTCTAATCAGCTCAGCTGCATTTTCATTTGTCTGGTGTGATGTATTATCAGAACATTTTATTTTATTTTGTTTATTTTCTTAAGGATTTTTATTTATTTATTCATGAAAGACACACAGAGGCAGAGACATAGGCAGAGGGAGAAGCAGGCTCCCTGTGGGATGTGGGACTCGATCCCAAGACCCCAGGATCACTACCTGAGCCAAAGATAGACGTTCAACCACTGAGCCACCCAGTGCCCCTATTTTGTTTATTTTTTAAAGATTGATTGATTGATTTGAGAGAGAGAGTAGGGGGTGAGGCAGAGGAAGAGGGGAAAAAGAATCCCAAGCAGATTCCACCCTGAGTGCAGAGCCCGACTCCAAGCTCAATCCCAAGACACAGAGATCATGACCTGAGATGAAACCAAGAGTAAGATGCTTAACTGATACACCACCCAGGTGCCCCATCACAACATTCTAAAAAAGGATTTAAAATAATTAAAGCCTAAACATTTGTTAGTATTTACCCAGCTCTTCCTAGAGTGGCCGGTGGCTCTGACTCTCACGACTGATTCTGATTGTCAAGATTTCCACTGGAGCAGAAGAATGTCAACTCAGTCTTCAATTAAAGTTCAAGTTCTTCTCTTGGCCATGATGGAAACCGACTCTAGGTAACTCATGACCCCCTACCCCCAAAAAAGAAGATTTCTGGGAAGGCAACTGTGGTAGCTCCCAGAATCAAAAGAACAGCAGCTTATCCAGGTCTTGGGAAGGAGAGATGCTAGTTGGCCCAAAGCCTTCACACAGAGGCCCCAACTGGAGAACCATATCTCTAGGGTCCTCCCGGATGATGGCTCACCTTCCATGCTGCCTCTCTGTGCCTCTGCTCAAATATCAAATGTCAGAAGAGAGTATTGCTTTGGATCAGGTACAGCAGGTGCCTACCCCTTGGACTAGTCGCTGAGGGTGGGCCCAAGGAATAGAGAACTCTGATTGGCTGAGGCTGAGTCATGTGCTCCCTTCTGTGGTGCAGAAGTCTATAGAGAAAATGTCAATAAGAAGACTGTTGCCAGGTATTACCTTCTGTGAAGCCTTCTTGACCCCTAAGGCAGAATTAGTGGTCCTCCAGGGTGGCTGTAACACTTTGTAAATGCTTGGATGAATTGAAGAGGAAATTTTTATTTAACAAAATCTCTCCAAGGATGGGAACTGGACTTGTTGGCCAAGTGTTTGGTACAGGAAGTGAGACCCCATGAGATCATAAGCATGGATAGAACCATTCTATAGGAGACCAAGAGAAGAATTTGCCTCTCAGGGGAAAGGAAAAAGAAAAAGAGGGAAGAGTAGGTTAGGGACCTAGCAGGACAGCAGAACACATTAAGAAATGTCTTTGCAATGACTTGCCCACCACTCGAGAAGGGCAATGATAATAATCTGGACAGGAATAATTTTGACATTACCAATTCCTTGCAAAACATACAATAAATATTTGCTGAATGAACGAAGGATGCCTACACTAGTGTGTCAGTTGAGTTACTTACAATGAGAGCTATTTCATTGGGAACAATGGGTCCTAACAATTTTCACTGGGCACTTCTGGGGGAAACGTCCAGTCTCCAGACAAAATATAATGAGCACGGAATTTGAACAAGGATATTCGTTGTTCTTAAGGAAGTAATTCCAACAAGCAAAGGTAATTGGGTTATTATTGTTTACAATCTTTCTGTGTGTTTACAAAGTACATTTATCTTTCTATCTTACCTGGGTCCTTATGGCAGCCGTGGGAGCTGGGCAGGCTTCCAGCCTTGGCCTGGATGGCTGCCTTTCTGCCCATACACCCCGTTCATTTGTCTGTCTTCAAACTAGCTCAGATAGCATTTCTTCCAGAAAGCCTTCTCCCCTTGCCAAGCCTCTTACAGATGTGCTTTAAAAAATAATGATGCTCATGTAAAAATAATAAGAGTTAAAATAAAAGGACTCAGTATGGACCAGGCACTAAGTGTAGTACATGGGTTATTTCTTTTGTCCATTGCCCGTCTTCTGTATCCCCACATACTGTGCTGCCTCCATGGTAACACCCACGAATAATAAACCTGGAGACAAACCATATGGTCATGTGAACAGAGGAAGTTTCTTCTTTTTTTTTCCAAAGATTTTATTTATTTATTCATGAGAGACACACACACACACACACACACAGAGAGAGAGAGAGAGACAGAGACACAGGCAGAGGGAGAAGCAGGCTCCATGCAGGGAGCCTGACGTGGAACTCAATCCCGGGTCTCCAGGATCACACCCTGGGCTGAAGGCAGGCGCTAAACCACTGAGCCACCCGGGCTGCCCCAGAGGAAGTTTCATATAGAGAACTATCCAATTATGATAAGAAACTATACAAATATAAAAAGAACTCTAAATCACACCCTAGGGCTGAGGGAGAGTTCTCTGAAAAAGACAAACTTGGAAGGAGGTCCCATCCCCAAGGCAAGGGTTCAGACCCCATTGGTGAAGTTCTGGTTGCAGCCACTGGATGGTGGAAAAGTT